ACCATCCTCCTCTCGCTCGGGTCCTGCCCCTCAACACTCAGACACTCACCTCCCATCTTAGGGCCGCCCTCCCCTGAGCCCACCCTCTGCCTGTCACTTTAGTCTCCATCAGAGTGAACTTCTTGGAAAAGTTGTCTCTTTTGTCCCCTTTACTTCCCCAGCCAGCAGAAGGACCATCTCCCATCCACTTCTCCGCCAGCCCTCTCCATCCTGGGAAGTGGGAGTCCGTCCGGCCTGATGTTCTCACCAGAACCCAGAGGTCATCTCTGGTAACCCCTCTTCCTCTGTGGTTGACAAGGAATCCATCATCACATCTGTTCACTCCCCTAAATCTGGGTGCTTTGCGTTTCTGCCGTTGCGACACTCATCGCATTCTGTCTTCTCCTGTTTGGACAAATGCAACAGCCTCTAGGCTCCGTCCTGCTTGCTCATTCTAAAATATTCGCCGCAGGGCAGCCCATGAGTGCTGTTAATGCATATTGAATCAAGTCACTCCCCATCTTAAGTCCCTGGAACGGCTTCTCACTGCATCGAAGGGTAAAATCCACAATCCCCAAGTGGCCTGTTAGGCACAGCCTGGCCTCTCACTTAGCGTTCCAGCTCTGTCCGCCGCCACATCACCTATTTGGCCGCTTGATTGAGCTGAGCTTTTCCCCTGCCTGGACCCTCTGCCTGGCCCATCTTCCTCCCCTCCTCACCAGCTAACTCTCGCTCATCCTTCAGGGCTCGGCTTTGACCACTTCCTTAGAGAAGCCTTTCTGATTCCCGTCTAAGCTGGGCCCCCTCGTGTGGCCTCCCACTGAGCACTCAGGTGGCTGTCTGTTCCGTGTCTGCTTCCCCACTGGGTTGGAGGCCCCACAAGGGCAGGCGTCATGTCTGTGCTCCTTCTGTGATTTCTGTTGCAGAGGTTTCCAGAGACACCCGGTATCTAGGCTCACCGAGGCCAAAATTAACTTCTAGGAGCAACCTACATTAGTAAGTGAGAGCCAAGTTTCCCTTTCCTTGGGAATTCACAAATTCAATTCACAAACAATAAAGCTTCCAATTCCTTGGAATTTTATAAAATTGATTAAAACACAGTGACTGTGGCTGGAAGCATCCAAGGACTCAGAGTGGAGAGGCTAGGACAGCGCAGGCCCTTGAGGCAAGCAGGGGCCACAGCTCAGGGATTCGGGGGGACACAGAAACGGGCAGCAACCTTGGACCTGCGTATCTGATGCAGGGCTTGTTTGACGACTGTCAGAAGGATGACGGTGGCGATGGTGACATATATTTCTTGAGCGCTTACTATGGGCTGGATTCTGTCCTACACACATGGCGTATATGAACTCATCATCACCAGTCAATACAATGTGGAAATGGGGGGCCAACGATGAAGTAACAGGCCTGATGGAGGAGCCAGGAGGCAAACCAGGCAGTCTGGCCCCACAGAGGGATCCTGCTCGGTTTCTGGAGCCATCAGGAGAGAAAAGCCCCGTGTGCTGGACGGGAGCAGAAGGTTGCTCTGTGAAAGATCGGAGGGTTTGGAAGCACCTGTGTTCTTCATCTGGGGATGCTCTCTCTGCCTCCTGAACACCTTCTCCTTTTGCTGACCTAGCTAGAGACCCGCCTCCAAGGAACATCTCAAAGCCTTCCTCCGGCTTGGCTCCGCTTGACACCACCTCACCCCCACCTGCAGCATTTTCTGTTGACGCCTCTCCCTGGGAGGCGAGGAGAGACTGGAGACGGCCTGCATCTCCTTGGGAAGTGACGGGAGCTTTCTGAGCCCCACCTCCCTCATCTGCCAAAGGCAATAATAACATCTCTCTGGCAGGGTGGGGATTATGAGAAACTAGTGACACCACGGATGGCCAGTTACCAGGGGCTCAGGAAATGGCAAACAGTATCAGTATCACTTCTCATATCACCCCTCTGAGTGCAGGTTATCTTTGAGGGAGGTTATTTCTAGTTTCCCCCTGCTTGACGCGAGCTGCCAGGGAGCAGAAACCATTACCGTAAATGTTTGTGGAATAAATGAATTCTCCATTCCAGGGCCCAGCCCAAATAGTCTTCAATGAACGCTTATGAATCACTGGCCTACAGGACTGGCCAGGGGAGGAAAGGTTTATGCAAGAGCCTACCGTGCTTTAGACTCCAGCTAACAACTGGTGGTCTCCTTCCAGCCTCCCTTGTGTAAATGCCCACAGTGCTCTCAGACATCTGGCGGTGGGGCCCCAGAGGGCGGGCCCCATGTTCCTGAAGCATACACATTCATGGCACAGAGATTGGAGAACCAGTGTTTCTCACCCTCTTCCCTGTACTCCCGAGCTCTACAGGGTAGGCGCTGTCCCTGAAGGCCCCTGGCCTGGGTATACAGCAGAGCATGCCCAGCCATGTCTGTGGGCTCCTGGCTCCTTCTGTTGACCTGGGCCTGACCCCGCATCCTGACTCCCAGCATTCGCCTGCTCCGGGTTCTGGACTGACCCCTGAATTGCTCCTCCTCACTATGCCTTTCCTACCTGCACTTTGACTCTGCTCTTCCCCCAAGTAACAAGCCCTGGCCCAGGGGACCACAGGCCAGGGGCAGAAGCAGGGCACAGGGAAGAAGCCTAACCCCCTGGAGCGATGTCATGGACTCTAGACCCACAGTTAACTCTGCCGGTTACAATCACATTTTTTAAGAGCGCAGTAGAATACAGTAGGACATAGCATTTTGTATGTCGTAGAGGTAAGCACTGTTTCTGGAAACTTCTGTTTCAGCTTTATGTGCGTGGCCTGTCCCATCACATGTATTTCTGCTTGGGGATTTCAGGAAAAAGGCTTTTAAAGACACTGCTCTAGAGCTGCCCTGACCAATACAGCCACTGGCCACACTGAGCACTTGGACCGTGGCCAGGCCACACTGAGCACTTGGACTGTGGCCAGGCCACACTGAGATGTGCTCTGAGTATAAGGCACACCTTAGATTCCAGACTCGGTACGCAAAATGTACACTCTCTCATTAATAGCATTTATATTGATTACATGTTGAAATCGTCATATTTGGGATATACTGGATTAAGGGAAATATATTATTAAAATTAATTTGTTTCTTTCTATGAGATAATTTAAAATTACTTACGTGGCTCCCATTATATTTCTGTTGGACAGCTAGGGTGTAGAGTGCTGAAACTTCTTTACCAAGTGTTTATTCAGCTGATCCTACTTACACAAGTGGAACTCATTCATTCATATATTCATTCTTCATAACATGAACAGCCTAGAGCACTATGAGCTGGGTACAGACTCAGCACTAGGGACACAGAGGTGAAGGACACAGGCCCTCCCCTCATGCAGCACTGGGTCTTGGGGGGGGGTGGACATGGACATAGACAGCTGGAGTCCAGATGTGTGCAAGGGGTCCCAGGAACACAAAGCACAAAGTGCCTGACTCCAACCTAGCACCCATCCTGGTGATAAGAGCAGGTCTCAGAGAATCGCAGGAGGCTGGGGCCACACAAACCCTCAAATGTGACTCCAGTGTAGAATCTGAAACCCTGGCTTTTGCTCAAGGTCACTGAGCAAGGAGGTGGCAGAGCTGGGACTAGGACTCAGACTGCTCGCCGCTTAGTCCTTGCCTTTCACACCCAAACCACGGGTGTGGTCACTCGGTCCACCAGCCAGAGCCGGGACTGAACTGACCCCGTCTGCTCTGTGACTTGACACTGACTGTGGACTTTTCCCTTCCTGCCTACCAGAATTGACCTGCCCAGAGTGCTGGGAGATCATAAATCATCCAGTGGCTCTTTCAAGGACAGCATCGAAAATGCCAGCTGTCTCTTTCTTGCAGGGTTCTGCAGGTCCCTGGAAACCTGTGGCTGCTCTGGGCAGTGAAATAACTAGGTCAAATAGTACACGCCCATGAGGGATGGAATGCTGATGTCATCCAGGCTTATTTGTTCCTCAGAATGAGTGGGCTTTGTGCTGCAGGCCTTGGGAAAGCACAAACCAACACAGCCAATCAGTGACACGGACTGTGGGGGTATTCGCCATCCAAGGGAACTCCAAAGAGCTCACCACGACCAGGGAGGAAGAGGACTGGCCTGCGGTATCACCAAGGCTTCTAGGTGGCACGAAGCAACGTTAGAGGCCAGCCTAGACCCCTAACCTTCAGTGCACGCCCAGGAAACTTGCAGGATTGCAGAATTGGGGTAGAGACGTTCTGAATGTGCGGGGGGCCTGGGCGATGGTGGACATACCGGGAGAAGCCCAAATCTGGGAGCTAATGACTTGGGTTTCAGATTTTCCCCACCACTAACCATGGGGGTGATCACAGGCTTGTCCTCCCATGCCTCCATGCCTCGGTGTTGGACTAGATGAACTGAGGTCCTCTCCAGCAGGGCATCTATGATTCCAGGGCTCTCTCTCCAGTCCACTGGGCTGTTACTTCCTCCAGGGTATGACCAATGACCTCACCACATTCCTCTCTGTGGGGCGATGGCCCTCCAGCTGGCAGTATCCTCCCTGCCCAGGACAGGGCGCTCCACCCTCCTTGTCAGAAAGGAAAGCTGTCGTGTCCTCATGTCACGTGTGCATCATTGTTCTCAACGGAATGACCCGCTTGAAAGCCTCTTACACTTTTGTTCTCTGCTTAGATGAAGGATTTGTGCAGGACACTTAATGAAATCCAGGCCCCTTCTCGTTAGCATCACGTGACATCCGGAAAGGGGCATTCCTGTTCCCAGTCTCTGGTGGCAGGGAGAGAATGTTTGTGGTGCTACGCCAGAGTGGGAAAGTAAGATGACCTTTGAGATTCTTGTGTGCCTGGGGTGGGCCACGGCCGGAGGAATTCTGAGATCCTGTCCTGGAGGAAGGGTCTGAGAATTCCAGCTTTCTCAGTGGGACTGGGGAGCACTGGGTTGCGAGCTGGGAGACCTCCACTAGGGTCTTCATTGGCCGCTAATATGTTGTCTCACCTTGGTTATTCACTTCTTTCTCCGGGCCTCAGCTTCCAAATTCATAAAATGGGGGCTCAGTGTTCCCTAAGCCCTTGCAGCTCTGACTGCTGGGAGAGGCCCGGCATTCTCGAACAGAGCAGCAGCCACGGGTGGGAGCAGGCAAAGCAGGAAGACCCCGCAAAGCCCGAAGCCAGCCCGCCTGGCCTGGGCCCCCCATGCCGTGCTCCCCGTGAAGAGGCACAGAACGCCTCCCCAGGCCTTACCTTGCCCCAGCTGGGAGCCAGTGATGGCTTCTCTGGCACTCCCAAAGCCCAGCTCTCGGCAGACGACGCTGGCAGACACCAGGTCCCACTTGTCGTCACAGACGGTACCCCATTCTCCGTTCTTGAGCACCTCCACTCGGCCCTCCCCGATGTTGGCACCACCTCTCAACCGCACCAGGGGTTGCTGAAGAGACACACGGTCCTGCTGAGTGCAAAAGCTGACGCACGTTTGGCAGGTGGGCGCTGCCCACTGCCCTCCCCTCCCAGCCGCTCCCCTCCACACTGAGGTGCCCGGGCTAGGAGCCGAACCTGTGCTGGAGTTGTGCGCATGTGCGGGGCAGGGGGGGTGGTGCCCGTGCTCGCTCTGCACCGTCAGCTCTCTGGGAGCTGCCGGCCTGGACTACAGAGGAGCCCACCGGGACCCTCATTCGTTCGCCACCCCAACCCAGGCTTGGTCAGGGGCCTTACCACCGGCACTTCCCTCCACGGCCCCAGTGCAGAGCCTCAAGCTTTAGAGCTACAGAAAGCAGCTCCTACCCCCAAACTTGGCAGATTCCAGGCGGACCGGGATTCTACCTTGCTTAGAACCGAGCGCTCTAGTCTAGCCCTGCGGGAGACTTCAGGGCACTGACGGTTACACTCCGGTGATCCTGCTCTGCAGGCGGGGAGAAGCGGGAGCGGGGAGACAGGCAGCTAACCAAGAAGGCCGGGGCTGAGACAATGGACCCTGTGCGGGGGTGGGGAGCCTGCCGTGTGTCCTGGGGCTGCGCGCACGCGCGGCCACTATTCCTGCTACCGCTAGCCCTGATTCTGCTCCAGGTCCAAATCAGCCTGGCTCTGCAGAAGAGGCAGTGCCCCTAGCTGTGCAGAGAGGGGGTGCTTACAGTTTAACTGCCCCTCAGCGCTCACCGACAGCCTGGAAGCCCAAGCGCCTCGCAGGGTTTATTTAATCACACAGGGGTAAAAGCCACTCTCCACCAGGGCTTTGACCCACTGGATCACATGTTACCAGATGGGAGCTGGCTCCCATGACTCCATCTGCCCACACACCCCGGTCTGCATCAACTTCCGTGCATGCGATGTGTGTGCATGTGCATGCGTGTGTGTGTTGGGGGGAGGGGTGGGGCTCAGAAGGCTTCGAGGCTCTGAGTTACTGCTGATGCTCATTTGCTTCAACACAGAGGGAGTGGGCTGACTACGCAGCCGTTCTGTGTGTGCTGGATCAGACCAGAGTCATTGTTCCACTCGCGCCTCCGTGGTCCTCAGACCACACCCGCCGATGGCCCGGCCATGGTGGCCTGGCTGGAGGTGGTGTTTGTCGACATTCAGGTACACCTGCCACCTTGAGGGCCGAGGTGTCAGACCAGAACCCGTGTCTCCATCCTCCAGCTGAGGTTCCCACTCGGCCACAGGGCTCTCGCCCACTGGCGGTGCCCCGTGGCTGCCGTGGCAGGGCAGGGCGCAGGGATAGCACCCAGGCTTACAGGCCGTGGGGACTGCTCTGAGCCTGGCACTAGGGAGAGAAGATGGACAGGGGTGTGTGCCAAACATCCGGAACCTTCTAGCTTTAGAAAACAAACCAGACACCTGTTGGCTGCAGCCCATTTGCAGTGGAGCTGTGCCCTCTCCCTTCCCCCACTGCCCGGCCCAAGCTGTCTAGCACGCACAGCTGTGGCTTCCATGTTCTGGAAACTGCTCCTATGGGCTGGTGGGTGGGAACAGCACATGGGAAGAGGAAGGGGAGGGGTAGGAAAGGTGGCTGCTCATTTATGAGGGGGCAGACCATCCATGACCCGAGCTTGATGGAGGCAGAATGCCAAAGATCCTCACCCCAGCCTGGCAGTGGCTGAGCAGAGTCAGCTGGCCCCGGAGGAAAGAAAGAAACCAAGGGAAAATGTGATGTAAGGCTCGCTACCCCCCCCCCTTTTTTTTTTTAAATTCCTTTGGCATGAACTCGATTCCTTTGCTTTAAACCACACAGCAAGAGGAATTCCAAAACAGTAGGGTCTGGAATTCTGGATGACATACGAGAAAAGCTCAGAGGCTCGGGCTGAGGCTGTAGGAAGGATGTGGTCATCACATCATGTGGCAGGGGGGCAAGTGAGGGTGTGCGGGGGCTGTGGGGCTGTGGGGGGCAGCACTGTCCGGGGGTGTGTGTGTCGCCGGGCTGCACGCATGTGCTGTGTGGTGGGCCTGTGCACTTTGGAGGCCCCTTGGCGACAAAGGGGGCAGGGACGGCTGCCTGCTGGAAGAGTCACAAAGGCACTCCAAATAGTTCCCATACCCCTTGGTTGATGGCTGGGCTCACAGCATTCATTTCACTCCTTTCACTGAAGGCTTTCTCTTTTGTGTAAGCCTGGGAGGGGGCACCCAACATGGTTTATCTGCCTCCTGTCAGGGTTTCCCTTTTCTTTCGGATGAGTGCTATCAGCCCCCTCCCAAGAGCAGGTCCTTAGATGTTGATGCGGAGGGGAGACAGCAGAGGGCAGAGGGGAAAGATGGGAGAGACAGGGAGAGAGGAAAGAGACACAGAATGAGGCTGCCATCACGGCCTTTCCCCCTCCTCTTACCCCTGACGTGGTCAGAGCTGACTCGGAACTCACCCCTGCCCAGGTGAGCACGGAGGTTTTATCTGGCGCGGGGGATCACTCCCCATAATGAGCAGCCACCTTTCCTACCCCTCCTTCTCCTCCTCCCATGTGCTGTTCCCACCCACCAGTCCCATGTGAGCAGTTTCTAGAACATGCACATCACTGAGAACCTTTGACGGATATAGAAAAAAGAAGGGTAGGAAAAAAAAAATGAATTTCCTCTTAATGATTTTCAAGGGAAGATAGAGGAGCGCACTTTCTCTGTTTCAGAAGCCGCGTCAAGCCTGCCATGGTCAGGACAGTCCACTTGTCCTAAGAAATTGGACACTTGAAACGGGGCTGTTATTTATGTGAGCAGATGTACATCGGCGTGTCTTGAGTACACTCACACGCACACACGCGCACACGCACGCGCACACACACACGCAGGTGCTGCTCGCATACATGGAACGAGACTGAGGGCTACAGGTGACAGAGACATGGGAATGACAGGTTTTCCTTGTCTGTCTCGGTGAAAGCTTTTTAAAAGTTTTTATCCTTGCTGTCGCAGAACAAACCAAAACATGTTTGGAAACATTTGTAGCAGGGCTCATGTGCTTTTGAGAATCATACTGAATTTCCCACACACTCCAGAACGCTCCTCTCCTCTGGGAATGCAGCAGCACTCCCCACCCCTGCCTCTCCTGCTGGGCCAGCAGACAGCGCAGAGAGCCTGTGACAGTGGATAAGGAGGTGCTCTCCTCTCCTTGGTATCTGTCCTCCATGGAGGGGACTCTGGTCTCGGAGAGGAGTAGCAACGGTGGGAGGCCAGGTCGGGGTGCTGAAGATTTGGGGCTGGGGCCCAGCGGCTCAGCGCATTCTAGAAGTGGCATCTCTGGGTGGGGCCGGCCCTGACAGGCGTCCCACTACATTCCTGCCCTGTAGGAAAGTCGTCTGAGTTGGGGCCAGCTCTCCTCATTCTCTCCTGGAGGGGTCCCTGCCCGCTCCCTGAACTGCCACTCTCCCCCCGCACCCCGTGCCAAGGGGCCAGACCTCTGGCCACGTCCTCACCTCTGGCTTGTAGGCTTTCCGGAATCTCGAGGGCCCGTCGGGGCTGAAGACCTGGCCAGGCACACAACTCACCACGGCTGGCAGCCCATTCTCACAGGTGACATTCTTCACGGGGTCCAGCAACACCTGAGTGCCGAGCTTGCAGCTGGAGATGTGGGCCTCCGTGCCTCTGCAGTCCATGGAGAAGGGCCAGTAGCGCTGTTTCTTCCGGGCCGCAAACATCCTGCAGGGGGGCGAGGGGGCGGGTGACCAGGGTGTCATGGCGCCCACCCCTCATTCCTTCCACAACTGGGTCCTGGGTACGGGGCCGGCCGCTGTGCTGGCTTCTGGGGATCTGGTGGGGGAACAGAACGGGTACGGCCTGTGCATCTGGAGATCAGCCCCGCTGAGTGGGCAGGCACTCGCTGAGCACCTCAGCCATATGGGGCACCACGCTGGGCGCTGGGAAGCAGGACTGGGAGGGCAGATGTGGCCTCCTTCCCCGCCCCCTCCCCTCGGCCCCAGGCAGCTTATATGCTAGTAGAGGAAGTGAGATAACACAAAAGCCTATAAACGCAAAATGCAGAAAGGGGTCTAAAAGAGATAAGACCCCTGGTCCCAGGAAACTCTCAGTCCCAGGCAAACCAGAATGGTTGCTCACCCAAACACTTCAGATAATTTCAACATGATTGGCTGTGGTTTCTTGCCTGTGTCAATGAGCAGAACAAGGTGAATGTTAAACTCTCTCCCAATGACATACAAGATCAAAGGTGTGGATCCGATGAGAAGCAACAAAGAACAGTCTTAAATCACCCCATGGGCTGAATCAAAGTATAACTTGCTTGGAAATTAAAGTGGTCAGGAAACTCAGCCACAGACCTTATCAAATCTTCACCTGGGAGCCAGTGAGGCTCACGGTGTCCCCGGAGCATAGCCTAAGGGAAGCTCTTGGCCTGTATTACGTGTGAAGTATTCCTTTTTACGTGTTTTTGGAAGGCAGAATAAAGACCAAGGTGAGCCAAAGTGTTTTCTAAAACAATAACCAACCGATAAGTAAGGAACTGGTTAACAGAAAGATTACTGTGCCTCGGTTTCCCCATCTCCATATTAGAAGGGTAATGGGATCTACTTGGTAAGATTGTTTATAATGCTTGTGAAGCCGTTAAAACCACACACAGGAAGGGCTTCGTATGTGTTTGTAAAAGCACTGACGACTATCTTGGTTAAAGGAGACAAAGGGAAGAAGAGAAGGTAGGGCTCCCCAGGGTTGCCATCATGAGACACGACTTCGGGGAGAAGCAGGGTTTGAGCTAGGCTCTGAATGATGGTGGGATTTGCAAAGGAGGAGGGCAGGGACGACACCCTGTCCTCCCATGCTGTCCCAGCTCTCTGGGGTCTGTGTGCTTGTCCCCGCTTGGCAGAACCAGTGACATGCCCCAGACAGACAGCATCGCCACCAGCTGCCCAGTGGAGGGGCCTCCCGGGGCAGGCTGGCCCAGGGCGGGGCAGAAGGGGGGGCCTGTTTCTGCTGGTAGGGCAGGCCTGGAAGTTTCTGCTTTGTCTCAGAGTGAAGGGATGTGAACACAGAGGAAGGTGAAACCCTACAGACACCTCCAATATCTTTCCTTAACCCCAAATTTCGACTGATTCTAGTGTAGCTGTGCACCCAATGACACAGACTCTTTGAAAAAAGGACTATCCTGGGAAATTCAGGATGTGTGCTCAACATCCCTGTAGCCTACGGTGAAGAACTTTGCAGGAGGGCCGTTAAGAATTCCAAGCACCACTGCCCCTCCCCACTTCCTACATACAAGGCCCCTGCCCTTGGAAACACAACCTCCAGCTTGTTCCCCACCATACCCCCACCTCGGACTGGAGAACACACTTGGGGGGGGGTTGTCTCCAGCTTGTCCCTCAGGACGCCCCCACAATAAGCGAGAGAGCACACTCGGGGGAGATCAGCTGCACAAGGCCTGACACATCCTCTTGCTTCCAGGGTTCAGTGAACACTGCCCTCACCCAGCAGATGTACTGAGCTCTTAATATAGACCGAAGCGCACACAGCAAACACAGATCTGCTCCTGCCTTTCCCAGACAGCCCTGCTTCCCTCTCACATCAGCTCACAGGAATGCACGGGGGCCCTCCACAGGCCTCCGCTACGCAGGCAGTGGCCCACCCCCTCCCCCAGTGATTCACCAGGGCCAGGGCCAGGGGGTGCAGACACGAGGGGGCGAGGCCGTGGGGAGGCTGCATGACAGCCCGCCCTAGGCCTGCTGTTCGGAGAGCCACTGGAGTGACGGGCAGCTTTGAGCCCAGGGGGAAGCCTGCTGGAGAAAGAGGTGTCTAGGCCTATGGCAGGGTAGAAGGTAGAACCCTCGGCGGGGCCGCTGCAACTGAAAATGTAAAGTCCTCCTGGCTCTTCCCAGCCAAGGGAAAAGCCGGATTTGGTTAGGGATTCTGCCAGCTACTGTGTATGTCTATGCCAATGATGAATTCCAGAATTAGGGAAATAACCACAAGACGGGCTCAGGGACCCACTGGGCCCACTGTGAGCTGGGCCTGAGCTAAAACTCCATTGATCACCTGACCTCCATAAGCCCCTCCTCTGACTGGAGGGCCGCAGCGACCTGTGAGTCTCCCGGAAGCAGTGTAGTTCAGAACCTGTGTCCAGTCGTGCCAAAAGTTCTGGTTATTTCCTCTTCCCCAGTGCACACTTTGGTAAAAGGCCATAGGTCCCTTTTGGGGAAGGCTGGGCAATTGATTAACAGGGTGCATTTTTGGCAGTGTACTGGGGTCCGTCCTCAAGGGGAGCCAGCCTCCCCTTCATTCAAAGGGTCCTGGGTCTGTAACCTGGCTCGGGTCTGGGACTTGGGGGAGGGGTGTGACCCTCTGTGTTTATGATTCAGGTTTGATTTTTGTTCTCTCAGCCTAGATTTTCCGTTCATCCAGAACAAGTAAGAACTCAGTAGGCTTCCTACCCATTTCACATCCAGGAACACCATGATCAACCAGCCCACGCCATGGGTCTGAAGGAGTCAAGCTGTTCTGATCACTGCTCAGACTCTGCTGTCATTCAGGAACCATGCCCACCTGGCCTGGGGAGGCTGAGTGCTGTCCCCTGGCCCCTCCGCCCTGGGATCCAGTCACCCCCCACTGCAGTTAGGGGGAGGTATGGCCTACAGAGAAGAGTTCCCTGCAGGGAGCTCTTCAGAACGCCGGGGTTTCCCACACAAATTTATTCCTCAGTCATAGGGAAAGTGTGTCTTCTGGACCTTCCCAGGGTGGGTGAGGCCTCAGAAGATAAATGCACTCCAATGTTCCAGTCTCGGTAAGCCTTTGAAATCCCTTCCTCCACATGAAACCAAGGAGAGTAGGCATTTCCATTTTGCTCACGGTGGGCCACATTTTGGTCCATGTTTCAGCCAACCAACCAAATCATTAAAGCTTTCCTAACTCCTGAGATGCAACATTAGATGCAGAATCTCAGCTTAGTGAGCTCATATCAATAAATCAGTGTCAACACTGGGATCCTGCTCTAAGAAAAAAAACGACCACAAAACGCTCCTGGCTCCAAGACTGGGGCCCTGAAGCTTCAGTTTCATTAGCTTCAAGGAGAATTCATGGTTCCCCGGGCCAGAGGAGAAGTCAGCTCATGGCAAAGCAGCCCTTGGTGGGGAAATGGACTCCACTCTCGGCGACCCTGTGGGCGCAAGGACTCTGAGGGACAGGTGGGAACCACCTGGAGGGCGGGAGGGTGGCGAGCTGAGAGGCTCTGATGAAGAGCCTATCCCGGTGCTGGGGATAACTGAGGCCCCTGACTGGCCACCAGACACACCAGTTAGCAGAGTAAGGGGGAGAGGCCTCAGACGCTGCCCAGGTGAATGTCTAAGGCTGCCAAGTTCCTTTGGACCTGGTGGATACTTGGAGATGGCCAACCCCACTCTAGACAGAATCACTTTGGAAACAATCTCCTTCCTAGGGTGAAGGGCCTCCCTGGGACTGAGGGATGTCAGCAACAGCAGGGACAGGCTGTGGGAAGGGTCAAAGGGAGCTGGGGAAAGCTGCTCCTGGAAGGCCCAGACGCAGGGTGGCCCTCACTCGGCTCCCAGGCCTCTGCTGTTCCACAGCCTCTCAGCACGGCTCCCAGACCCCCTGTCCCCAGGCCAGCCCGGCCCAGCTCCCAGACTTAACAGCCCCCTGTGGTGGGGGCCTGTGCTGCGTAGATAGGCCCTGCCTCTGGGGCGGAGCAGAGCAAGAGCAGGGGCTGAAGGGGGCGTGGTGTGGAGAACACACCTGGGCTTCCCCGCGGGCTCCGGCAGGGGGGCTCTGGGACCCCTGAGTGCCCTGCCCCGCAGGCCTGCGTCTCCTTCTGTGCAACGTAGGGCTTGCGCCAGGTGATGTCTGAGGCCACCCTACGCCCTGGGAGACCCAGCTCATCACTAAGAGCTTCCTCCAGCCGGCTGCCATCACAGCCCCGAACAGCACCACCGAGGCAGACGCTTCCCACTGTGTCTTTCTCTTTTGGGGCCCAACTGTCAGCTGAGTCTCAGAGGCTGACATAACACAAGCCTACAAGGTTTAGCGCCCGCCCTCCTGCCTCTCCGGCTAGAGGTCAGGAATCGAGCTGGTTTTCAGTCGTCAGTTTATCATCTCCCAACTTGGCTGAGAACACCACCCACCACCACGGCCTTGGATGCCTCCCAGCCCTGGGGGCCTTTTCCTGTCCCAATGTGAACAGGAAACTGGACACAGGGGTGGGTGGAGCAAGGAGAGGGTTTCCAATGCAGCCCAGCCCACGAGAGAGGATCGCCTGGAGCGAAGCTGCCAAAACAGAGCTGAGACCCCTCCTCAAAAGCAGGAAGAAGACTCAGGACCGTCCTCAGTTGGGGAGATGGCTTTCAAAGGCCATCTGAACAAGCCATGTGCTGCCTGGCTTTGGTCTGCTGGCAGCCTTCCCCACTCCTAGCACTGGGCTGGGGGCTGTGGTGGGGCCAGCCAGGGGAGGGGTTCGCTTTTCTTGGCTCCAATGGGTCGGAAAAACTGAGAAGGTGTCCCCAGGGAAGGAGCTGACCAGATGGAGGGAGTTGTCCAGACTCAGAGGCCTGAGACCACTCCTCCTCCCAGCTGCCCTGCGCAACCAGGAAGGTCTGGGCCACGTCTGGGGCGGTGGAGGGTGGGAATCGACATTGGGCTTGCCCCCAGGGTGTTGTCAGCCTGCCCTGCTGCCCGCGTTCACCCCTGTGGCGGACTGGGGGCTCTAACCAAAGGCGGCCAGGCCAAGCCCACAGAGGGATGCAGCCTGCCCGACCCCAGGGAT